AGCACTCTGAAACATAATAGGAAAGAGTCATGTTCTGGCTCATATTCAGTGAGCATGTAGTAAATACCTTGAGGTGTGAAGTCTCTAACTTTTCTTTCAATTCCAAACTACGGAATGGTGATGGGTCATAGAATATTGGACCTTCTTTTACTGTTGTAGCAAACTTTTCTCCCCCTTTCCGCTCTTCAGGATTAAAAATCTGAATTCAAAGTAAAAGTTGCATAACATTAATCTGTCAACTATATATGTTTCCTTGTAACATAAAAGCAAAGTACCTTTGAGTCCATGAGTCTCTCAAGTTCTGATACTTGATCTGCATAGTTAGAGGGAGAGGAAACACTTTAGAGGCGGCTAACAAAACTCTTGCAGTATGAGTTTATGTTACTTCCATGAGGTTTAAACATTAAAACCTAGTTACAGAAAGCACGATTTTTGGTTTGGCATACAGAGGAAATCAGAAACTTTTAAGAGCATGCCTTTTCTAACGACGGCTGAAGCAGTCAATCCAAATATCTTCGGTTTGTGAGTGGATTCGTGATAGAATTCCTTCATGAAAACAAGAAAGAATCTAGTTTGTTGATAAATTATGGAAACTCTATTAATGAAAAACTAACAGAGCTTATCATTACTGAGAAAACACACCTTCATTAACTTCGCATAAGGATGATTGCCAGTGGTGCGGTGGCATTCATCTATTATCAGCAGACATACCATCTCTAGTTTCAGGAATGCACTTCTAAGGGCATCCAATAATATTTGAGGAGTCATAACCAGAACCTGAACCAGACAAGACATAATGTCATTGCAGATAATAGACATATCATTTGGGTTCGGCAACAGAAACAAAGTATGTGATAGCTGTTCGTGAGATCAATACAGTCACAAATCTATGTCAAGGGTGTGAGCCAACATGTTAAAACAAAAGGACGATGAAAGAATCAACAACGAAAGAAGAACCAACCCCAAAACTCTAGGCAGCAAATGTACTAACAAATCGGAATGGAATTTAACTAAACAGGTAAACACACGAAAAGAATCAACCACAAAGACCATCATCCATGACTCAAAATATTAGCTTTCTCTGCTGCTATGCTACAAGAAAATGAAACGTCTATGCCAAAAAGAAGAATTGGGAAATGGCTTGTGATATTCAAGAACTTATGCTTTTTGTCATTATCAGACACCAATGAGCTGGTCAAAGTAGATTGCAACATTCTGCCAAAGTTATTCGACTTGTGAGTCAGATTCCGATTTAGTGGAGGAACACTCACCACAAAAAGAAAATTTGATATAAATGACCCAAAATTCAAGGAAGTCACTTGTTGGTGTATAACTAGCAAAATATACCCAAACAGAAACACAAACTTACATCGTGCTTGCTAACTTCCTCATCCCAGCGCTGAGATGTCCATTTATCAACTCCTTTAGCTCCATAGTACTCTTCAACCTTCAAATTAACTTGCGCTCTGATCTCACAGCATTGCTAAAACCACACACAACAATAAAACATTCAAAAATAAGCTCCCAAGGCGACTCATTTGCCAACATCATCAACTCAAAATGATTAAATCCAAAATAACCATACAAAAGAAAAACTTTTTCGCTTTACATATATCAATCAAACAAGAGACTTGCCTGTTTAACAAGATTGACAGTTGGAGCCAAGAAAATTATCAATCTTTTGGCTGTATCAGAAGAACCCATGGCTTTGATAAGCATCTTAATGATCTCTGACTTATCAGTTCCTGTCCCAAGAACAGCAATTATGTTCCTGTTCTTAGCAACCTCGTACACTTTCAATTCATAACTACTGCACAACAAGTAAAAGAGTAAACTTTAGTGAATTAGACTAAAACCCTTCAAAGAAACTCAGAGGAAAACCCAAAATCAAGTACAGAGAGAAGAAGTTGAAGATACCCATTAGAGTCAATCATCATAGGAGAAGAGACAGAATCAAGAATTTGATCTCCATCGATTTCAGAGAATTTCCTCTTAAGCGAATTGCTTTCTTGTTGTGAATCTTCCTCCATTTTCTCCGGCTCCAACGAGGAATGCATGACGAACGGGGAAAAAAGGAACACACTTTAACGAGAAGAGTTGAGGAATTTCGAATTTTGGGTTTTGTGGTTGAATCAGCTTCGACTTTGAGAGAAGAAAATAAAAAGCGATTCTTTTTCTCTTTTTCTGAACCTGCACTGCCACTGGGCAAAGTGTATGAGACAGAACATGAGTTTCGAATGTGTGTATAATTTTTATTTTTATTAGAAAAGAAAAAAAAACTGCATCAACATTTAGTCAAAGTCAAACTATATTAAATTTTGGGTAACCTTTTTTTTTTTTTTAACGTCTGGATTTATTATTAATTGCAAATTATGAGAACTGTTACATAGACGATTCTACAACTGACAATTCCTTCCGACCCTTATTGGATCCACGACAGGCTACACTTCCTTCTTCATACACGACCTGACGCACCTTCCTCTCTGTGTAGAATCCTGGCGAACGACTGCACTTCCCTCTCTGCGTAGAATCCTGGCGAACGGCTATAATTGTACATCGTTGGAGATCTCCTGCACACTTGCCTCCATTAATCTGCATATTTGTTAATAAATCGCAGTATCTGGGACTCGAACCCCAGACCTCTTGGTGTAGAAGCATTAATTAACCCTTGGTCAACCATTGGGCCGAGGGGGCTTCCACTGGGTAACCTTTTTTGATTCTTTATTTTTTTTTGAGTTTTCACTAGGCCTGGGCTTTCGGGTCTTCGGTTCGGTTTCGGTCCTAACCATTCGGTTATCGGATATTTTGGTTTCCGAGTTTACTATCCATATGGTAACCGAACACATTTCGGTTCGGTTTCGGTCATAACCATTCGGTTATCGGATATTTCGGGTACTAAATTGAAAAACCGAATAATAACCGATAATTTGCGGTTAGTAATCGGTCCGGTTCTTTACTAACCGAACCATTACATTATACCCAAAAGGTGACCAAATTATCCGAAATACCAAATGCAAAGTTCAAAATACAACAGAACAATTCAAAAGTACAAACTGGAGTTAAAACTCAAACCCAAAAGAGAGTGAAACTCAAATCAAATTCAAATCCAAAAGGCTTCTTAGAGAAAAGAAAGAGTTAAAACTTAAAACTCAAAGAGAGTGAAAAGTTTGAGAACTTCTTTAGTCTTTACCATGCTTGAGATTTGAGTTTTCTTGGCCGAACGAAGTAGTGATCTACAAAATCGATTTAAAACACACAAAATCAGAAATACAATTAAATCTCAACATTATCCAATCTTTAAGACAGAACAAAAAAACTTCATGATAAAATATGCAAAGAAGGACCCAAAAGAGATCTTCAGCTATAAAAAAATCCAACACACTTAAAAGAAAACTCTTGAAACTTTCTCTATCAAACCATAGATTTGATCTTGATCATTGTTTAAACTGTGAAATTGGTAATCAATCTAAACAAAACCTAAAACCAGAAATTAGAAATCCATTTAAACAAAACCCAAAACTTGTTTCTCCCACGAACCCTAAAATCAGACCTCAAATCGAAATTAAGATTTCAAAACCATACAACAATAAACGAAAGTACAAAACCGAAGGAAAGCAGACAAGCTTACCTTGAATCCGATAGAAGACTCAACGAAATCGAGACAGAGAAGATCAGAGGAGTGAAGAATCAAGTTGTCGTCTTAGTCTAATTAGGTTTAGCCACATGAGAATTGTTGAGTTATGTTCCCTGTTCTCGACGTTTACTTAGAGCAAACGCAATGGCGTAATTGAGACATGGGTGTAAGTATTAAAGAAAAGAAAAATAATGCCAAAGTTGTCTCTCTCCTCACACTCGGGTGTAACTTTACACTCGGGTGTAAGACTCTCTCTTTCTCTCTCTCTCTCTTTCTTTCTCTCTCTCTTTTCTCTCTCTCTTTAAATTATAATAATAAAAAAAATTTCACACCCACACTCACACTTACCCCACTGTGGGTGCTCTTAGGTCTTAGGGTTAGAGAGAGTAAAGAAGTGGGCTTGGGCTGGTAAAAGTAAAGAAACATTAGGCAATCTTGTTATTGGGTCATGGGTGGGTGTTATAATTGGGTTTGGGCTTAAGGGATATAAACTTTCGGATAACCGATCGGTTATCGGTTAATAACCGAACCGAATTACTAACCATGGATATCAAAATCAACATCCATTCGGTTTTTTGCCTAGTGTAACCGAACTGAACCCGAAATAATTCCGGGTTCGGTTTCGGTTCGGTTGCTTCGGTTCGGATTATAATCCCAGGCCTACCTTTTTTGATTCTTTATTTTTTGAGTTTTCAAAGTGAAAACTCAAAAAATAAAGCCCGAAATTATTGGCCTCTAAAGCCCAATGGACCTGACCCATTCTATTTTGTCGTTCCAGATTTTAAGATTCATATTGGATACTGCTGATTTTTATGTTTTCTTCAATGTGCAAGCTGAAGGATGTAGTAAGTAATAATGGACATTGGACACACCAAAGGAAGAGAGAGCTAAAAACAGGTGGAAGAGTGACTTGTGTTAAGATCATCTAATTCTAATGTCACTTTTAAGTTGTTTTGTCGGAGCTGTAGGGTCAGGAGGATTTCGGTCGGGTCCAGTTTTGGTTAGGGTCAAAATTAAACATAATCTAACTACATTAACAAACCCCAGCTTGAAAATTAGAGAAATACTACCAGAGAACTCGAACACAGAAGAAGAATCAAAAATACTGTTTTGCAAATTAATTAGTGAAGAATTTTTTCAAAGCCAAAGGAAGAAGAGAGGCAAACCAGCCAAAATATTACTCATTTTCAGATATTTTCGATATGTCACTAAATTTGAGAAAATGAGTAATATTTTGTTTCACTTGTAGCATGACCATATGCAGCAAGGAGTAGTGCATTAGCTCGAGCATAGTCCCTTCTCCTTGTCAATTGGGAACTAAGTGATGAAAACATTTTCAATGCCAGTTTCCTGCCACCATCCTATGAAGAAAATAAAATCTTTATTGCAACTGATGAGAGGTTAGACATGAAATCATAAAAGTTTGAGAGTGAAGATTCATCACCAGGCTATAAATACTAAGTTTAAAATGTTTCTTCCATGTAGAAGGAGTAACGGAACTAACAGAAATGTTAGATGTGAGAAGCATTCCTATCCATAATCCATATCCAAGTCCTGCATTGTAGGCATCCTAAGATATAAAGACACAATCATGTTTCAGTTTATCGAATCCATATCATACATACTGAAGTAGAAAAAAGATGAGTATTGTTTTACCGCAATATTGTCGTTTTGATAGTTAATCGATTTCGCTACAAATGCCTTGGTTCCTACAACATTGAAGAGACTAAATCGATTTTAAATCTAACGCAAAGAACACCGCAACAAAAACACAGTGAAATATCATTCTTACCGGATGGAACATCTAGAGTACGAATCAGTTCTAGCATTGATTTTGAATTGTAACGAGTTCTTGGGATTTTTTGAACTACAACTTGCAACTGAGGAGTATCATATACCTTTACAGATTTAACACACAAAACTCAATCAACTTTGACGGATATATCAAAGAAGAAATTCACCAAGATAACAGTATAGAAAGCCTGTCTTATATACTTAAGGTTAGGAATAGATAACAAAACTCACTAACTCAATAGTTACAAACATGTTAATTAATCGTAAATCTTCTATAATCCAATATTATTTTCATTCATATAATTCCTATAGATAACAATCGAACCTTGTAAATATAAATTATGACAAACCAAAAGTGGAATATCTTAATTAACTTCACAAACCCTACAATCTCGTAGTTCCCAGTTCTAGGATTTTTTAGTATTATTTTGTCCTTTATTATATAGTTCTAGGGTTTCATCAGAAGAAAAACAATTTTTCTAGAGAAAATAAATTAGTAGCAAATTCACCTGAGCAGAACAACATCCCTTGTTGTCGAATTTCAGCACAGCCAAAGCTCCAGACAAGTTAGGGTCAATCCCAATGATCCAGTGTGGCTTAAAATTCTCTTGAATCGCCTCTTCGTAGTTTGGTGAAGAAAAAGAGAGAGGATTCAACAATTTTTGCTTCATTTCCTTCTCTTTGGCCTTATCATGTGAGGAGAAAAATCGAGAACGGAAAGATTTGACCTTAGAGGAGAAAGTCATTGCCCTTAGTTTCTCTACAAGAATCATGGAAGTAAGGAAAGTAAGCACAAAATAATCAACTCACGTTCATAAAAAGTTTGTACTAAGATACGACGAAATCGACTATTGTAAGTAAGAAAATTGGCATATGAGAATATGCTCTGCTCTCTTGTTTGATCACTCCTTGCCCTATAAGATTCGATCGATCTAGCAAATATTATCTGAAGCAACGAAACGAGTCACTATTTAATGTTTAAAAGAATCTTTTTTTTTTTTTGGTGGATTTAAAAGAATCTTATTTGTTACGTGTTAGGGTTTTTAACTTTTTAATATATTTATTAATTTAATTTATGCAAAACAAATCCGAATAAAGGGTTTAAATATTTTTTAGTTAAACATTTACATCCTAGAAAGATATTCCGCTTGAGGAGATACCAAAAAAAAAAAAAAAAAAAAAACTTTATTTCCTCTCAAAAGGCGAATAAAGTGACTGCGTTCGCTCACCTTTTCCGGCGTCGACCTCGACGTCGGAGCGCCGTCAGCCCTACTCTTCCAGGTCCTCCTCTCCTTATGAGGAACAAAAAGTCTTCCAAAAAGCGTTCGCCGCCTCCTGCGGTCTCTCCGTCTCAGCCTTCCGCCTCTTCTCCCGAAATCGTTTGCGTTCCCGCTGCTCCGGCTCCGCAGACCCCGTCGTCCTTTTGCCCGCCTGATGTCAGCTCCTCTGCTCCTCTGCAGTCTGCCGTTGTTCCGATTACGGCCCCTAATGCCCCTGTTTCAGCAAGTGCGCTAAGCAAGGCCATTCCGGTTTCATCAGATCTGGCTCTCATCTCTCCAGATCCGGTTGTCTCAAGCACCTCTGCGAATGTTGCAATTGCAGCGGACCCAGATTCCTCCGTAAATCCGCAAATAAGCAATGACGCACCTTGGGTCGGTCTTTTTAAAGGCGCCTCAAGAAGCCTCAAGAGGAAAGGCACAGCCTTTACCCTTCCTTCCGGGAACCATCCATTCGATCGTCAATGGGATTTGGAGCCGTTTCCATAGGGACATCTCTGTTACTAAGATGGAAGGAAACGCTTATCTCTTTCGTATTCCCAACTCTTCGACACGAAATCGCGTTCTAAGTCAAGGGCTGTGGCAAATAGATGGCTTAACCATGTTCGTGGCGAAATGGGAACCGGGTCCTATTCCTAAGAAACCCGAGCTCTCCTCTGCTCCTGTGTGGTTAGAGCTGAGAAATGTGCCTTTTCAGCTCTTTAATGAAGATGGATTTGAGTTTATTGCAGGTCTTGTTGGAGAACCAAAGGGATTGCATCCTTCAACAGCAAATCTGACAAACTTAGAAGTGGCGAAAGTCTTCACACTTATTGATCCAAGGAAACCGTTACCTGAAGCAGTAAATGTTCAGTTTCCAACCGGTGAAATCAGTCGTGTGCTTGTATCCAGCCCCTGGATGCCTCCAATCTGCTCTTTTTGCAAAGAAGTGGGACATTCCCTGAAGCGCTGTAAGCTTGCCCCAATATCTTGCTCTGTGTGCAACTCGGCTTGTCATCCTTCTGATGCGTGCCCGCGAGCAAAAGCTAAGGTTAAAAAGAAGACTCAGAGAAGGTCCAAAGATGCAGCTCCTTCTGTCTCTGTTTCTGCGCCTCCTGCAGCTCAAAATGCTTCCCTTCCTTCTGCTTTATGCAATGCGAAAGCTGAGCCTTCTGCCAAAGGTAAAGAGAAAGCTGTTGATGTGGCTATAGCCTCTCCAAGCTGTTCTCTCCCAGATGCTACCATTCCAAAGACCCTTACTGCTTCTTCTTCTGAATGGATTCAAGTTAAGCCAAGATCATCTCAGAAGAAGGCTCTTGGTGCTGTTCTTCCTGGCTCGTCTGCTGTCCAAGAATCTTTTTGTATAGATATTGGGCTGGAGCAGATCCAAGTGGAGACCAAAGAGCTAGAAGAAACAAGCTTATCATCTGACTCCTCAGATGTTCACTCTGGAGAAGAGGGAGTCGACCCAGAGATCGATGAAACTCATTTTTTGAAGATGTTCTCACAGAGACAACAGAGAAGTGCGCGGGGCAAGGGCCCCAAATCAAACTGATCAATGTGTACAGACATTTTTTGCTGGAATGTGAGAGGTTTTAATAAATCAAATCATAGAAGAGGTTTTAGAGATTGGTTCAAGCTTAACCAACCTATTTTGGGTAGTCTTATTGAGACGCACGTGAAACAGCCAAAGCAACAAAAGTTTCTAAATGCTATTATGCCGGGCTGGTCTTTTGATAATAACTATGACTTCTCAGTTTTGGGGAAGATCTGGATTATGTGGCATCCTAGTGTCAAGGTGTCCATTATATCCAAGTCGCTTCAGATGATGACTTGTGACGTTATCCTGACTAACTCACAATCAGAGATTGTCATATCTTTTGTTTATGCAGCAAATGAGGAGTCAGCTAGAAGAGAGTTGTGGAATGAAATTGTCAACGTCTCTTGTCTTCAACGTGTCAGAGGGAAACCTTGGACTGTTCTTGGTGACTTCAATCAAGTCTTATACCCGAATGACCACTCATTCTCCCTAAATCCAAATGTTGATCTGCCTACTAGACTGTTCAGGGACTGTCTGCTTGATGCTGAACTGTCTGATCTCACGTACAGAGGTTGTACCTTCACTTGGTGGAATAAGAGAACTGTTAACCCGGTGGCTAAAAAGATTGATAGAATTCTGGTCAATGAGAAATGGCTCCTTTCCTTTCCCAGATCGTTCGGGTATTTCGGCGAACCAGACTTCTCAGACCATGCCTCCTGCTGCATCACGCTGAGACTGCCTTCGCAGAGATCACGAAAGGCCTTCAGGTTTCAAAACTTTCTGTTGCAGAATTCTGAGTTTGTGCCTCTTATCTCCCATCAGTGGTTCAGCTTCAATTTTGTGGGCTCTGCGATGTATCGACTGTCCAAAAAACTCAAAGCCCTTAAAAGTGTTATTAGGGAGTTCAGCAGAGATAATTACTCTGATTTGGAAAAGCGTGTTAAAGAAGCTCACTCTACTGTGTTAGTCCTTCAACATCAGCTCCTCTCCAACCCGACTGATGCAAATGCTTTATTGGAGAGGTCAGCAAATGAAAAATGGCAGATTCTTCTTAAAGCTGAAGAATCTTTTCTTTATCAGCGATCTAGAGTGACTTGGTTAAGAGAAGGAGATTTAAATACTGCCTACTTCCACCGCATTACTGCTGCTCGCCAAGCTATCAACCATATTCATTTTCTCGTGGATTTTGCTGGTAACATATTTGATTCTCAGCAAGCTATTCAAGAGCATTGTGTGGATTATTTTTCAAATCTTTTGGGAGGGTCAGAGGAAGCTCCTCAATTTGACCAAGCAGATTTATCAAGTTTGTTGGAATTCCGTTGCTCTTCTTCTCAACAGGCTGCTTTGTCCAACGACTTCTCTCCTGAGGACATTAAGAATGCTGTGTTCTCTCTTCCTCGAAATTAAACAGCAGGTCTGGATGGCTACTCTGTTGAGTTCTTCAGGAGCTGTTGGCATGTGGTGGGTCCTGAGCTTGTTGAAGCGGTTGCTGAATTCTTCAGAACGGGTCAGATTTTAAATAAATGGAATGCAACCACACTCATCCTCATTCCAAAGATTCCAAATGCTTCCTCAACGTCAGAATTTAGGCCAATCTCCTTATGCAATACGGTTTATAAAGTTATATCTAAGTTGCTGGCTGGTAGGCTTCAGACTCTTCTCCCGTGTTTTATTTCAAACTCCCAATCTGCCTTTCTCCCGGGTCGTCTTCTAGCTGAAAATGTGTTGTTGGCTTCTGAGCTCGTGAATGGGTATGGTAGAAAGAACATCGGTCCGAGTGGAATGTTAAAAGTTGATTTAAGGAAGGCCTTTGATTCTGTGAAATGGGAGTTTATTCTTGCCATCCTCAGAGCCCTTCACTTCCCTGACAGATTCACCGCTTGGATAAGCCAGTGCATCTCAACTCCGTAGTTTTCAGTTTCAGTTAATGGGCAGACTTCAGGTTATTTCAAAAGCTCAAGAGGCTTAAGGCAAGGCGATCCCATCTCGCCGTACTTGTTCGTGCTGGCTATGGAGGTTTTTAGCAGGTTAATGAGATCTTCCTTCGCTGCAGGTTTCATAAACCACCACCCTAAGACTAAAGAACTTGACATATCTCATCTTATGTTCGCGGACGACGTCATGGTTTTCTTCGATGGCTCTATGTTTTCTCTTCAGGGCATCGCTGACACCATGGATACTTTTGCCTCTTGGTCTGGGCTAAGGATGAATTGTGATAAAACTCAACTCTTCACGGCTGGGTTGTCACCCCTTGAATCCACTGAATTAGCATCATCCGGCTTCTCCATTGGATCTCTGCCCATAAGGTACTTGGGCCTGCCTTTGATGTGTAGAAAGTTGAGAATCTCTGAATTCTCTCCTCTCATTGACAAGATGACTAAAAAATTCAACGCATGGGCTGTTTCTTCTCTGTCATTCGCTGGGAGGCTGCTGTTAATCAAGTCCGTTATCTACGGCCTTTTTAACTTCTGGGCTTCTACTTTCATTCTCCCTAAGGCGTGTATCAAAAAGATGGAGTCCTTATGTGCTAGATTTCTTTGGTCTGGTTCCATTGAACGGGTCAGTGGAGCAAAGGTGGCCTGGGCTGCAGTTTGTTATCCAAAGTCTGAAGGAGGCCTCGGGCTAAGAAGAATGGGAATTTGGAACTCCACTCTTTGTCTAAAGCTCATTTGGCTGCTGTTCTCTGGGAGCGGCTCTCTATGGGTGGCATGGCACAAGCACCACCATCTGAGAGGAAAGAGTTTCTGTTCTGTCAAGGAAAAAGCCACTGATTCTTGGAATTGGAGATCACTTATTCAGCAGAGACACTTGGCTATGCCCTTTGTGAAATGCACTATAGGAAACGGAGAGACCGCGAGCTTCTGGTTTGATAATTGGTGCCCGCTTGGTCCTCTCATTACCTTCGTTGGTGAAAATGGTCCGATGGAATTCCAAATTCATACCCAAGCCTCTGTGGCTGATGCTTGCGATGACACCGGCTGGAAAATCCCTCCTTTGATTCTAAGTCAGTCCTCTACCCTTGCTTCCCATCTCTCTCATATCTCCCTCCCTCTCAATGAGACGGATTCAGATTATTATAGTTGGGTGGTTCTTAACAAGAAGTTCCAGTCTTTCCCTACTTCTAAGACTTGGGATATTATTCGTCCTAGAGACTCTTTAAAAGAGTGGGTTTCATCAGTTTGGTTTAAAGGTGCCACACCGAAGCATGCCTTCACTATGTGGGTTTCCCAACTGGACAGATTGCCGACAAGGGCCAGACTTGCTTCATGGGGACTTCCTGTTCCTGAAACTTGCTGCCTCTGCTCGGCTTCAGACGAAACTCGCGACCATTTGTTGCTGCGTTGCAGATATAGCGAACAGGTTTGGCAGCTTATTCAGCTTAGGCTGCGGCTGAATCCTTGCGTTTTCTACACATGGTCCTCTCTCCTAGCCTGGACAAAGTTGAAAACTGCTTCCTCGCCTCCAATCCTTAGGAAACTTGCAGCTCATGCTGCAGTCTACCATATTTGGAAACAGAGGAATAACATTCTTCACAATCAGGTTTCTGTCTCGCCTGCTATTCTTTTCCGAGAAATTGACAGGGAGCTGCGGAATACGATCAGCGCCAGGCGCCACCGGAAACAATTCAGAGATCTGATGGTTCTTTGGATTAGATAGATTTGTTGATTGACACTCAACTTGCGTTTGTATTCTTGTTTTTTATTTCTTTTTTGGCAAGTTTACAATATTTGGTTAAGCTCTTTTGTATAACCTCTTTTCATTATATATGATATTCACATTCCTATCAAAAAAAAAAAAAAAG